CTAGTTCCCCCAATTGTGCTGGACCTGAACCCAGTTCGAGAGATGCTGTCGTCTTGCACTTAGGGGTGCTTTGGAATCACACCCAAACAGCCTGGGACGTCCGGCAATCGTTGGAGGCTTTGAGGGAAGCTGTCAGTTCCATCGAAAAAGCGCCAACACGGGCTGCAAAAAGTTCGCGTCCACCAGGGCTCCTGGCCCGGAGGCTCGCGATCTGGCTTTGCGTCAGATTCTGTTCTGGTGCTCGCAGGCCAAAGACCACGACCGCCAGCATGATCACCTGCTTGTGAACACTTCTCCTAAACCCTAAACCCTAAACCCTTAAACCCTCCGAGCATGGAGGTGTTAGAGCCTCGGCTTCTTCTTCCTTTGATCCCCAACACAACAGGAACCGAACCCGGAGCCCCAAACACAAATTAATCCCTTAGACCGTTAGCCTAACCTCCAAACCCTATAACCCTGTACCTTAAACCCTAGACCCTAAACCCCAAAACCCCAAAACCCTAAAACCCCAAACCTCGAACCCGAAACCCTAAACCCGAAAGCCCAAACCCTAAACCCCAAACTCTATAAACCCCAAACCCTAAGCCTAGCGTGTGGTCATCCCAAGTTTAGGTTTTTTGGTGTTTAGGTTTCTGAGTTTAGGGTTTAGGGTTTAGGGTACCAGTAAGCGCCCATTCTTTCGTGATCAACGCCCTACATCGGCAGGGTGCCAAGGGCTCATAAACCCTAAAGGGATTAGGGTTGGTTAGTTGACGGCGATCGGCACTGGGCGTTCCTCAACGTTGGCCACATAGGAGGGACGTCCCAGCTGTTTTGGATACCCTAAACACCAAACCCCAAACCCTAAACCCTAAACCCCAGACCGTAGACCCCAAACCCTAAACCCTAAACCGCAAATCCAAACCATGAAGCCTCGGATTAAAACTTTACATTTGGTTGCATGTATCCTGCATGGGATTGTGGGGAACGGGGGGAGGGTAAGTCGTTTGGGGCTTGGTGTTTGGGGATTAGGGGTTAGGGCTCAGGGCTTGTTATTTCGGGCTTTGGAGTTCCGGGTTCTGGGTTGTGGGTTTCGCGAAGAGGGTCTAGGGTTTAGGGGTTTCTTACCTAAGTAGATCCTTAGTGCATTTTTTTTGCGATCCGGTTTCCTTCTCACTCAACACCGTTTCACAAACAGCAGGGTGCCCGTTTTGTTGTTTCCCAGGTGTCAGTGCACCTGTTGAAACTCCTAAGCCCCGATATAACCCTCTATATACTTCAGCTTGTTTGTTTTTATAGGGCCCAAGTACCCCAGGGTTTAGGGTTTAGGGTGTAGGGTTATAGGGTTATAGGGTTATAGGGTTATAGGGTTATAGGGTTATAGGGTTATAGGGTTATAGGGTTATAGGGTTATAGGGTTATAGGGTTATAGGGTTTAGGGTAGCACCCTCCCGACACGAAACCCTGAACCCCAGTTTTCTAGGTTAGGATCCGAGCTCCGCCCTGGCTTGAGGCCATCCAAGACGAGCTGCTAAAGGAGTCGCAGTACACGGAGCGCGTGGGCTGGGGAAAGGATGACCTACGACCCCCTTCAAGCCCCAACCGTAAACACAAAGCCCAAAGCCTGGACCTGCACCCCTAAACCCCAAACCTCCGCAAAACCGAAGCCCCCAAACCCGCAGCCCTAACCCTCAACCTCGGCCGAAAACGACTCAGAAGCGATGTTTTTTCCCCCTTGTAATTTCCATTTGTTGTAGGGATGTTCACAAGGTTCGGGTCGCTGAGAGTCCCCCATCTGGGACCTAGCAAACTCGACAGGGTTCAGGGTTTGAGGTTGGGGTTTAGGGTTTGGGGTTTAGGGTTTATGTTATTTGTGTTTTTTTTTTTTTTTTTGGGGGGGGGGGTGGCCACTTGAGGTTCGGATTGCGGCGAAGTTTGACAGCATGCTGCTATGGTAAGGTCCGCTGACGCTAGAAGCAGTCAACTGGAGCATGCGCTCTGTGGCCGATTCTGCGGACGACCATTTAAGGATGACAATTGCTTTAACGAGGATTCTTTCAAACAACCCAAATTGTGAAAGTGAGCTGTTCAGTCTGCTTTGCAAAAGCCTGATTGTGAACAACACTTAGTTCCTTCGAGGCGTCAAGAAACGATTTTCGATACTTCGTGTACGGCACCCTCAAAAGAGGGACCCCCGCGCCCCCCCAATACCCTACCCTAAGCCCCATAGCCTGTCAGGAGAATCTGAAGAACCTCTTTTCCACGTTGGACTCGAACCAGGCGGCTCGGATCAAGAATTTCTTGGGGCTTCGGGGTTTAGGGTTTGTAGTGCTTTAGGGCTTCGGGTTCGGAGGAACCAATCAAAAACCCTAAATCCTACACACTAGACCCGTAGATATATATATATATACACATACATACATACATACATACATACATATATATATATATGTATTATATTCCGGATATATCTAAACAGCCGCCCCACGCAACGCCCAGGGTCCCGTGTTCAGCCCCCTGAAGAGTTTGTGGGGCCTGAGGCAGCCTCGAACGGTGTGAAGCCCTTTCTGCCCAATGGAAACTTATTCCCAGCCCATCCATGAACCCTAAACCCTAAACCCTAAACCCTAAACCCTAAACCCTAAACCCTAAACCCTAAACCCTAAACCCTAAACCCTAAACCCGAAAGAAATCAGAGGTTGCATGCTCAAGCTCCCAGCGCCCTAAACCCCAAAGCCCAAACCCTTCAGCCAGATGGAAGGGTTTTTTTGGTTTTAGGGTTTAGGGTTTAGGGTTTGGAGCTAGGGCAGTTGGAGTTTTGCTGAAGCTTAGGGTTTACACGGTTTGCAGGGTGTGTAGGGTTTGTAGGCTTTAAGGGTTTATCTTGTTTATAGGGTTCACATTATCTACTGGAATGCCCCATAGTTAGGGTTTTCGTTTTAGGGTGTAGGGCTTAGGGTTTAGGGTTTAGCTTTAGGGTTTAGATAAGTGTCACTTTGTACCCATGAACCTGCAAAAAAGCTCTAAACCCTGATCCCTGAAACTTGTGGTTTTCGGAAGTGTTGTTGGGAAGTTAACGCCCCGCCCCCCTAACCCGGAACCCCAAGCCCCAAGCCCCAAGCCCCAAGCCCCAAGCCCCAAACCCCAAACCCCAAACCCACCTTATAAACCATATACCCTTAACCCTGTAAACCAAAACCCACTGACTCAAGGACGGCAAAATCAGCATCGTCGAGTTCGAGGACGCCGCTGCTGGGGTCCCACAGCCCCTCCACTTCTCCGTAGCCGGCCCTGTAGCCTAAGCCCGTCGAAAGCTTAAGGGTTTAGGGTTTAGGGTGTAGGGATAGCCTAAACCCCTTGAAATTCCTTGAAAGCTTAAACCCTGTATCCTTACAAGCACTTAGAGGGACTTTAGAGTTTGAGGGTCTGTGGTGTTGGGGGGCTTAATGTTTCGGGGTAAAGGGTGCAGGGCAAAAGGGTGTGAGACTTTTCCCCACGAGCGCAGGTCAGCGAGTCCCTACAGGCGACCTTTCCCAAACCCGAACTGTGTACCCGGTACCCTGTACCCTAAACCCTAAACCCCTACACCCCTGAACCCAAAACCTTAAACCCTAAACCGAACCTCCCCCAATGCACAAGAGGATAAGTTTGCCGACCCGCGCATCGAAGTGCCTTGGTTCATCCTAAGATCCATGGGGAAAGTGGGAACAGTGCACAGTCAACCCCATTAGGGCTATGGTTCAGGCTTGTGGGTTTGGGGTTTAGGGTTTGGGGTTAGGTTTTCCCCGCAACCCCTAAACCCTCAATACACCCCTACTAGGATGGCCTGTAGTACCCTGATTCACAGTTTTGTGTGTTAAGAAGACAAAGCTAAGACCCGGTAAACCGCCCGAGAGCGGCGGTTTCCGGGCAACTCAGCAAAGGCTTGGGGTTAACTTGGTAGCCCAGTGGTACCCTCTAAGCTCTTCCGGGTTCAAGGTTCCTTGATAAAGTTGCCAACCCCAACAAGGGCACCCTAAGCATCATATGGCTACCAAGTTATGGGGGCGGAGGCGATGATGTAGGGTTTGGGGCTTGGTTTAGCGTTCAAGGGGTTGGGGCTTGAGGTGCTCCAGGTGTGTTTTTTGGGGGGCTTTTACCCTAAACTAATGACTCTAAACCCTCAACCCTAAACCCTGTAGTCTGGACTGGGGGGTATAGGGAGAGTAGCATGGCAGCTGGCGAGCTGATGGGTGAAGGGTGTTCAGTTTAGGGTTCAGTCCCTGAACCCTCAATCCTAAGTGTTTGGGTTTACGGAGGGCTTAGGGTCTAGTTTCAGGGTTCGATGCTTTCCGGGACGCGATTGGCCCTTGGGGGCTTTCGAGGTTCAGCCTTATCCTGGCAACTCGAACTCCGCCATTCCCCCGGCCCCTTTCTTTGAGTTGATGCTTCCCCCACAAGGGTTCCCGAAGAGCCCAGAAGCAAACAAGGGTGCATCTTGATTCCCATGTACTCACGTTAGCTAATGGGCTGAGCCCCCTAAACCCTAAACCCTAAACCCTAAACCCTAAACGCTAAACCCTAAACCCTAAACCCTAAACCCTAAACCCTAAACCCTAAACGCGGTTTTTGCTTCCGACCTGCCGGGAGTTCCAAACCCCCCACTTGAGATTCCTGAACTGTAACACTCGTCCCCAAGGCTCTCTTCAGTGCCTTGGCTCAAAAGGCTGGGGTAGGGTTTAGGGTTTAGGGTTTAGGGTTTAGGGTTCAGGGTGCAGGGTTTAGGATTTAGGGTTTTAGGGTGTGGAGCAACTGCTGCGGGAGAGGGGCTAGGTAGGGTCTTCCTCATCTCGATGTTGATGCGCTGTAGGAGTATTGGTATCCACAGCCAGGGATTTCACCGGGGCCTGAGAAAAAAAAACAGCATTACTCCAACATCATCCTACATATTCATCGGTGGTGTCATTGGGAAGAACATGTGTTGCAGGAAGTGTTCAGAGCTCTAGGAGGAGTGGAGTTATATGACCTATTCCATACCAACCCTAAAGCCTAAACCCTGAGCCCTAAAGCCACAGAAGCAGCAGACTAACACAAGCACCTTATCTTTGTCGTAGTTGGGAAACATTTTGCATTTCAAGGGTACTTAAGCCCAATAAGGAATAGACATTCAATGTTTAATATTATCCCAACCAAGCCCTGAACCCTAAACCCTAAGCCCTAAACCCCAAACCCTAAACCCCAAACCCTAAACCCTAAACCCTAAACCCTAGACCCTAAACTTCCTTCAGCAGGGTTGGTGTGAGCCAAGAATGCGAAGCAAAGGTTCGATGGGAATAGACGAGGACCAGGGTTCCCTCACTGCGGGTTTAGGGTTTAGGGTTTAGGGTTGATCACCCGGGACGCGGATGGCGAGTTCAGAATTTTTGCGGGGTTTAGGGTTTAATTAGGCATCACGTTCAGGGTTTAGGGCTTGGGGCTTAGGGCTCCGGGGGCTTCAGGTCCAGTCACATCGGGCCTCAACCCTGAATCTTGCGAGCGCCCGGAGGCTTGGCACAGCAGGCTTCTTTCTATATCCTAAACCCTAATCCCTGAAGGAATGTGTGTTGTTGTTTGTGAATACTGCCCAAGCGAATACGAAACAGATTACTATATGAAGCCTCTAAGATCTACAGTCTTATTCTAAGTTCTAAGTACTTTTGGGTTTCAGGGTTTAGGGTTCTGAGTTCTAAGTTCTACGTTCTCAGATCTACGGAAAGTCTGAAGTATACCCTAAACCCTGAACCCTAAACCCTAAACCCTAAGGGTTTGGTATTCGGGTGTTCGGGCAGGACAAGGCCTGGAAGATCTTCGAGATCCTGGACTTAGACAGCACCGGCGACATATCGCCGCAGGAGACGGGCTTAAGGGCTTGTGGGGTTTAGGGTTTAGGGTTTAGGGTAGGGCTTAGGGTTTAGGATTTAGCGTTTAGGGTTTAGGGTTTAGGGTTTAGGGTGTAGGGGCCATAAGTCAAGGGGTCAAGTCCTTGCCCGTTGCGGGTGCTCCCGACTTTGTGGCGGGTGGTGGCCTTCGGACCTGAGTTTAGGGTCGAGGCCCTGGCTTTGGGGAGCTTTCGCTCATCTCTTTGGCAGGCCAAAATCAAACCTCACGGAGGTTCTGGGTTGTGACCCTAAACCCTAAACCCTAAACCCTAAACCCTAAACCCTAAACCCTAAACCCTAAACCCTAAACCCTAAGCCTTATGGGGCGGGGGAGGGTTCAGAGGTCTAGCGCTTAATCAGACGATTTCTTCCCCGCCTCGTCCCGTTGGCTCCCAACTGGGGCTGTGGTGCTCGGGCATCCCATGTTGAGGCTTTGGGGTTTAGGGTTTAGGGTTTAGGGTTTAGGGTTTAGGGTTTAGGGTTTAGGGTTTAGGGTTTAGGGTTTAGGGTTTAGGGTTTAGGGATGCTCCCCATGGCTTCAGGCATGTTAAAGGGTTCAGGCTTGAGGGAGTTTGGGGCTTTTAGGGCTGCAGGGGTGTTAGGGTTTGTAGAGTGCCCTAAGCCGGAATTCCTGGAAACTTCAATGTCAGGAAAGTCGAAGCCTTCAACTTAGGATGTGTCCCCCTTGTACGAACGGTCCTTAGCAGGGAGTACAGTACCCGCTGTTATAATCCCCGTTAAGGACTGCTAGTTTTGGCTTATACTAACGGTCCTTAGTAGGGAGTATCATAGGGGGTACCATAGTCCCTATAAAGGATTGTTAGCATAAGGGGGAACATCCCAACCTTCAACGCTTGACAGGAGTTCGTCTCGCAGGGCCTTCGCTTGAAAGGGAACGCGCTGCGCATCGACGTGGAGAGGACGTGCCCTGCCCGAAAGCGGGGAATCCTGAACCCTGGGGCCCGGAACCCTAAAAAGCCTAAACTCTAATCTCTTACGCCCAAAACCCTAAACCCGAAACCCTCATCTCTCAGGCCCTAAACCCAGAACCCTACTTCAAACTAAGCCGGAGACACGGCGAGCCTGTGAGTCCAGAATTTAGGGTTTAGGGTTGAAGGTTTTTACACCCTAACACCCTAAAACCCTTGAGGGTTTGGGGCCTGCACGGCCGGGGAGCTTTGCTTAATGTGGGATGCTTTAGGGTTTAGTTTTTAGGGTTTAGGGTTTAGGGTTTAGGGTTTAGGTGTCTTGGAGCCGGCAAGGTATGCTGCAATCAAGCGCCAGACCTTCATGATGGAGGAGGGGAGATCAGCCCACCCCTGACTAGGGTTAAGCCCTAAACCCTCCTCGTCTAAGACCCTATAAAGCCCTACAAAAGCCCTTCAAGCCCTATAAGCCCAACAAACCCTATAAGCCCTGTAAACCTTATAAACCTTATCAAGCCTAAACCCTATAAGTGTAGGGTTTAGGCGCTTAGTGTTTCTCCCTAGCTAAACCCTGATTCCCTCCACCCAGAACCGAACCCGAAGTAGACCCTCAACCCCCAACACATGATGATTTAGGCCATACATACATATATATATATACATGTATCTGTATATATATATATATATATACACGCCTGCTTGTCTGGAACGCGAGTGGGTGTCTGTCGTTTGACTCCTCTGCATTTTTTCCAGATGGTGTCCTTATACGGGACGTGCAGGCTTGACATTGTGCCTCCTTTCCGCTTGCACCTGCGAGCTTTGAACGTGCGATCCAAATCGCGTTTGTAGCCTGAGTTTTCATTCTCGTGGTGCATGTCTCACATGTTTGTAGACATGGATATTTTAAGGACATAATGCACAGGTGGGCGTGCCAAAGAGCTCCTGGATGATTTGCTGGGGACCTGCCGGAAGAGCACGCTGGAGTGGTTTGATTCGGCCAAGGACGCTTTTCATTGGCTTCACAGGCCGGTTCTTTCGAGTCTGCTATCACCTATGGCTGGTTGTCTGCGCGTTGTGTTTTTCTCGGAGACTTGAAAGCTTCTCGCTTGTAGGCCGAGGCTCAGGAATTGGAAACCGTGCCCTTCTGTCTCAATTGGGCCGACCGACTGCACTGTCTTCTGTGCAAACACGAGAGTGTGGGCTTCAGCGTCAAGGCGCGTGCTCCTTCGTGACGTCGTGGACTTGTTGTGGAAGGATGCTCATGGACGAGCTCTTGAAGCGTTCAGGGACGCCGACACGGGCAGGTATCAGCTGATTGACCGCTTGGACCGCCTAAAGCATTCGGACAATTTCCCCTTGCGCATTTTGAAGGCGGGTTCGCGGCGCGTCAAGTTTGTTGTGTTGTGCGCTTGGAGTGTAGACGGCTTTGGAGCTGCGAGGTTTTAGGCAGATGGCTGTCTGTGGCTGGCGTCAACCTTGCCGAGGGTGCCTGCATGCACCATCGATGTTCGGATTGCGCAGAATGTTTCTCGACTTCTTGTCGTTGGGCGTCTGGTTGTGCGAGTTTAGTTTCAAAGAAGAGCGTAGTGTGTAGTACAGCTGGCGGAGCTAGTCTTGCCCGGGATCATGGGGTGGCGACGCCACTCGACTTTCTCTTGAACCCAGGTCCCTTAGATATGCTTATGCGCTTGTTTCTTTGTGTTTGTGTGCGTGCGGGTGTTGTGCGTGAGTGCGCGTGTGTTTTGTGTGTTCAGGTTACGATGCGCCGCCCTTCGACTTGCGGTCTGGCACGAACAGCGCCTACCAGGTGTTGATTTTTTGTACATGCTCATCTGTTCGAGTCTATTGTACGTTTCTTCTTTTCTACAGAACAGGATTGTTCAGCGATGTGTTGTGTCGACTGTCTCTTTTTTTGCTTGGGTTTTCAGGTAGGCAAATTCTAAAAGTGAAAAAGTTAAGTTAACTAATCTAAATGGTCTTTGAATAAATTACTCGAACGAATTACAGTATCGAAATCTAATTTCAAGATATGTGTACGCCAGTGTATGCACAGATGTTTGTTCATTAAAATCGCCCTAAACGAAATTGCGTAACTTAACTACGTTAATGAACTTATCTAATTCAATTGGTGACTAGTTAAATGACCAAACTCGAATTGAGAATTTATACATGAACTCATTGGCCGGTAACACAAACAACCTACTTGATGGGGAATTTGTAAATCACAAAACCGATTTGAGAACGCAATTGTTTTCTTTTGCGAATTCAACAAATGTAAGTACTAGAGAAAATTCTCATTCAGGGTCCATTAAACTAACTTAAGAAGACTTACGTGATTTTTGCAGGTCCTGAAATTAGACTTTTGGCTAAGTTTGTTAATGTTGCCACCCTCGTGATTCTGCTTATTTATGTCGCTTGAGTTCTTCAGGTAGTTTAAGTCATTTAGTCTGGGACAAAGTTACTCCCAAACCCGAGTTGAATCTTTTTGTTTGGTTAATGTGTTCACTCATGTTCGTTTTACTTTGTCTTCAATGCCATGCTTTGCGTTTGCTCAAACCAACAGCCAGGCCGCAGCATAGCACGCGTGAGCAAGCATAGCTTCTGAAAAGCACAAGCTTAGATTCGTTACCAAACAACGTGCTTCTAGGCTTACTTTCGCGTTTGCACTTTTCAGCCCGATCGTGATAGGGCTTATTGGTGCATGGGTCTTGCCTAGCTCAGCACCTGTCCCTTTTACGAAGGCGTTGGGGCTCCAGGGAACAGCGACGGTTTCAGTGTCTCGTGCCTCTTTGTTGCCGCAGGAAGCCATTCTGGATATCCTGGAGCGTATTGCTGATTTTTGTGTGCTGTGCACTGCGCTCATTTTGCAGGCTGTCGAGTTTTTGTTTCCTTTGCCTAGGAAATGGCTGAGCCATCTGTCGAAGGAGCAGCTGGCTGCAGCGCTCTACGTCCGTAGCTGCGCCAACATTTGTCATTCTGGTTACTTCAGGGAAGTCAATTCCCACCTCCCTCGGAAAGAAGCGGACGATGCGAGAAAAAGAAGAGGAGAAACAAGCACGTGAATGCGGCGACCGAAGGAAAAAACGAGCCCGGTCGCAACTGTCGCAACAGCTGTCACAGCCGACAGGGTTCGAGTTGGCGCGTTGGGAACAAGTCGCTGGAATGAATGCGGCAACTCGCTGCTGGATGCAGAGATCCAGGCCAATTCAAGTTCAAAGTCTTTCAAATCGCTTGCTCTACCCATCCGGAAGGGTTTCATCTCTTATGCCTAGTCGCCGGAGATGAACGCGGCGAGTCGCAGCTGGATGCAGAGATCCAGGCCACTTCAGATATATGGCTGTGGTGAAGGAGGATGGGGAGCATCTATGAGCGAGTACATGGATGCTTTTGCTTTGCTGCGCTTTATGCATCCACTGGAGCTGCGTGGAGCAGGACTTCACAAGCATCCTGGGTTCTCCAGCGCGTGCTAGCAGAGGCACAAAGCCACCCCCGCCATCTCCAAGAAACAAGAACAAAAACCTCATGCGCCAGCTTTCTCGCTCGCTGCGAGCTCAGTGACCACACGTTCTGGTCCAGCTTTATTTGGAGAGGCTGTGCGTATGTGGATTGAAGACTGTTCCGTGAGGAGATTTCTTTCCGGCTAGCGCAGAATTGTGTTCAGAACGGTCTCGGTGATTGTTCGATTTCTTTCTTTGCGTGCTGTTTGCCGTTTAATTGGCATAATTATGTGTCACGTGCTTGGTGTGAAGCCTCTGATGCAACATTCCATGATAAATTCTTTCTTCACTTTAGGAATCGGGTGCTGAGTCCCCTCCGGCATATGTGTGGACGGTGGGTTTCCACTTGCAAGCTTCAGCTCAGGATGCGTGCGGGACATGTGCGCAAGAAGGCGATGTGTTTGATGGAAGCTTTGGTTCCTTGAACAAACACATGCTCCCTTGTCGAAAAAGTGAGCGCTCATGTTATGGTATTTTGGTTCCTTTCGGTTCCACGCTTTTACATGGTGGTTTTTGCAGTCGCGTGCTCTTTTGATTTCGAATGTCTTGGCTTAGGTTTGTTTTCTTGTTTTAGCTGTTAGAGCTTCATTTTGTAGTTAGTCATGGCTTCTTCTGACGAAGCTTTGGTGGCGGTCGACTGGGATGTCGATGTCAAGCCTTATGTATATATATATATAGAGCATGGCTATGTATGTGTGCAGGTGAGCGAGTGGCCGTCATTGGAGTTGAGCCCTAAGCCTTGGGCCCTAAGCCCCAAACCCCAGACCCTAAACCCTAAACCCTAAACCCTAAACGGCAAACCCTCTGGTCCCCCTAAAAGATGGGTTTAGGACCCAGGCTTTTGAAGATTCAGGATCAAGGGACTAAAGGAGGGACCCTATTCAGGGGTTATTTAGGAATATAGGGGCTCTATAAGGTATATATGGGCGTTTAAGGGTCCGGGCGGGGGTTTGGGTCTCGGTTCTACTTGAAGGCCCATGGGATAGAATCGAAAGCCTTGTTTTTGGCAACAGGTTTATAAGCATCCCAAGTGAGATGCTCATCAGCTGATGCCATAGTTACCCTACTTCTGGCCCCCCCAGCTATGGCCACCCTAAACCCTAAACCCTAAACCCTAAACCCTAAACCCTAAACCCTATACCCTATACCCTCTACCCTATACCCTATACCCTATACCCTATAAACCCTAAACCCCGAATCCCATTCCATGGGGTCCCTCCTTCCCCCAAAAAAGGAGCTGCGGGAGCACATGGAGGACCTCCAGGACATGTGCGCAATTCTGCCCGGAGCTCACTGACCACGCTCTTAGCAGTCAGGGTATAGGGAGGGGGTTTAGGAGGTAGGTTTCGGGGGGGTTTCGGGGGGTTTCGGGGGGTTTCGGGGGGGTTTTGGGGGGTTTTGGGTGTTTTGGGGGTTCTGGGGGGCTTTGGGGGGGGGTTTCGGGGGGTTTCGGGGGGTTTTGTTTAGGGGGGCGGTTTAGGGGGCTTGGGCGGGGGTTTAGGGTGTTCAGGGGGTTTAGGGGGTTTCAGGGGTTTCGGGGGTTTCGGGGGTTTCGGGAGTTTCGGGAGTTTCCGGGATATGGGGGTTTTTGGGTTTTGGGGGGGTTTGGGGGGGGTTTGGGGGGGGTTTGGGGGGGGTTTGGGGTGTTTTGGGGGTTTTGGGAGTTTTGGGAGTTTTGGGAGTTTTGGGAGTTCAGGGATTAGGGGGTGTAGGGTTTTTAGGGCTTTTAGTGCTTCAGGGTTTTTAGGGTTGTGGTGCTTTTCGGGTTTTGGGTTTAGAGTCTTGCGCGCGGCAGGATCCTGCTCTCGACTCTCTACCAGTGTTCAGGCGCACGTGAGAACTTAAACCCTACAGGGCCTAAACCACAATTCATCCCTAAGCCACGTGTCGAGCTTACGGG